TGTTGACAAGTGTCAAGTTCTAATCCTTGAATATAACAGAACTTTTCTCCAGAGCCATGACCTCCCCAGCGTCCAGGATATCTTGGGAAATTAACAATAAGCACTCGTAGTCACCCTTACATTTATTACGATAACTGGTGAGCTAAGAATCTACACAATAGGATTGTCTAATTGCAACTGGTGACAAATTAAGCAAAAGCCGACAGGTCATGAAAAAGACAATTGCGTCCTTTTCACCACTGATTTTGAACTGCCTACAGTGCCTAGGAACCATGCAGTTCCTGGGCATCATACAGTCTCTCATCAGTCAAGTTGCTGATGCTGGCAGTCCGCCTATCAGACTTTATTCTGGATTTACTAAAGTGTATGGACTCGTGTCTACTTAGCTACTCTGAATTACTGAAAGATGTTTTCGTAAAATTATATAGGATTTTTTTTTCGTCCATTTTCGACTTGTCAGTTTGATACTTCCATTGTCAGTCAGTCTGCCAAGCTTGTCAGCTCCAGAGTATCTTGTATCCGATGGTCGTGTCTTCTCAGGATTTGTACCACTTCTGTAATGTGAAATTCAGTTTATTTCTTCTTTATATATACCCACAGTCTACTTGTGTTTTGTACAATTGTACACATCAGCAACAACAGTCTGGTTGACCAGGCAAGCACCAGACAAACCTGGCCCAAGGTCGGGCTCAGGGAGTTAAAAAACTCTCATAATTCTTCAAAGGTAGATGTCGTGTATATTCGATTACCTCAAACTTCTCCTCCTCTTCTTCTACCATTTTTCTCTATATTGGACTGGAAAAGCTGTCTCATTCTTCAACACGTCTTGCACATGAGTCTTGTACACACGTCTTAATTAACTGCTTCTTATCCTTGTTCTTTCACAAGAGCTTGCTAAATCTGGTTTATTTATAGTCTCAGAGTTTTAGTTTTGTGTTTTTTAGTCCTATTAATAGCTCGAGTTTCTGTACGTGACTGTTAAATGTTCGTATTTATAAGTATGTCTTTGATGTTACTGTATACAATAAAGATGTGGATAGTCCTGGAATCCTGTCTATCTGGGAGAACCATGTGTAGGTCTGGAAACTGTTTTTGTCCAGTGCTGCTGAAGACCTTATCAGTGTTGTTTCTACAGTCATTAATGAAATGTCTATCTACCTGGAATCTATATGGAGTCTACCTGGAGGGGATTCCGGGGGTCAATGCCCCCTGCGGCCTGATCCAACCGAATGAGAACGTGATCAGGGAAGTCTTAGTAACGTGAAGACTCACCCCCTGGAAACTTACAGTCACTTGACGGAGGTCTTCTGCTAAGCTTGCGATCCACCTTTTTCAAAAAAAAAAAAAAAAGTCACATCATCGGATGCGTCTGTGGATCTTTATGCTGCAAGAATTTCGTAAATATCCGTAGATTTTGCAAACACGTAGGTAAGACTTGTCCTTAAGTCTGGTCAATAATTTGAGGTCTTCCCTGATCCCAGGAATCTTAATCTTCCTTATGTAACACCGCTAGTGGTTCAGGGTGGAATTTATCCGCCTGTGATAACAAAATATTTTTAAAAGTCTAATATTAGATCTATCAGTTTTCAGCTGATAGCTGGATGATAAGATAAAGGTAAACAATGATTTTTAATATTTTGGAAAAAAAAGTCTATTGATCATTTTGCCTCTTTTATTTCAGACATAATAACCCGAAATTAGATTCTCTTTTACGTTGTCAGTGACCGCAGTGTCTAGACTCACGGTAAGGAAGGTGCTCAATAACACATTTCTATTGTTGTTTATGCTTCTAAACTCCTTCAGTGCCTCTGAGACGACTTTGTAAACATCTTTTGAACCTCTCAAGAAGAAGCATGAAGAACACATGACGGATGAAGAGGATGATCAGGTGATGTTATACTCGGATGAGCAATGAGGACGTGATTGCAACACACCCATCCCCTGCCTCTGAGATGTGAGGACGTAATTGCAACTCACCCATCCCCTGCCTTTGAAGTGTGAGGACGTGATTGCAACACACCCATCCCCTGCTCTGAGATGTGAGGACGTAATTGGGAACTCACCCATCCCCCGCCTTTGAAGTGTGAGGACGTGATTGCAACTCACTCATCCCCTGCCTCTGAGATGTGAGGACGTGATTGCAACTCACTCATCCCCTGCCTCTGAGATGTGAGGACGTGATTGCAACACACCCATCCCCTGCCTTTGAAGTGTGAGGACGTGATTGCAACTCACTCATCCCCTGCCTCTGAGATGTGAGGACGTGATTGCAACTCACTCATCCCCTGCCTCTGAGATGTGAGGACGTGATTGCAAACACACCCTCCCCTGCCTTTGAAGTGTGAGGGGCGTGATTGCAATCACCCATCCCCTGCCTTTGAAGTGTGAGGACGTGATTGCAACACACCCATCCCCTGCCTTTGAAGTGTGAGGACGTGATTGCAACACACCCATCCCCTGCCTTTGAAGTGTGAGGACGTGATTGCAACACACCCATCCCCTGCCTTTGAAGTGTGAGGACGTGATTGCAACACACCCATCCCCTGCCTTTGAAGTTGAGGACGTGATTGCAACACACCCATCCCCCTCCTTTGAAGTGTGAGGACGTGAGTGCAACCCCACCATCCCTGCCTTGAAGTGTGAGGACGTGATTGCAACACACCCATCCCCTGCCTTTGAAGTGTGAGGACGTGATTGCAACTCACTCATCCCTGCCTTGAGATGTGAGGGGCGTGATTGCAACAACCCATTCCCCCGCCTTTGAAGTGTGGGGGACGTGATTGCAACTCACCCATCCCTGCCTCTGAGCTGTGAGGACGTGATTGCAACACACCCATCCCCTGCCTTTGAAGTGTGAGGACGTGATTGCAACACACCCATCCCCTGCCTTTGAAGTGTGAGGACGTGATTGCAACTCACTCATCCCCTGCCTCTGAGATGTGAGGACGTGATTGCAACTCACCCATCCCCTGCCTTTGAAGTGTGAGGACGTGATTGCAACTCACCCATCCCCTGCCTCTGGGCTGTGAGGACGTGATTGCAACTCACTCATCCCCTGCCTCTGAGATGTGAGTATAACTCCTTACATACTCAAATTATGAACTTACGATATTAATTTTTTTGATGTGTTAACAATAAAACAAAATACTAAAACCATCGTTTGTTTCCAGAATTTTCGGTTTATAAACCAGCTATTATGCTTATTAAAATTATTTATCTTTTTATATTTCAGCACTGATGATGGGGGTTTGAGACCCCGAAAAGTTTGGAAATAAATGGAGATGTTTTTATGTCTCATGTTATTTTTTGGTTCCTCCTGCGTCTAAGACAGGGTCGTCCACCCTGGGTAGCACTCTGTATACACAGTCTGCTTCAGTGACTCTATTGTGCATCTAGACTGTTACCATCAGAATTCACGTTAACTTTCAAAATGAGCTTCGTTTATTCATAATAGAGAGCCTCAGTATAGAAAATGAGAGAGAATCCTGTATCCTAGTATTCAGCAATCCCGGTAACCGCCCGTGAGTCACTATCTATCCCTGGAAGGCTGTCAGACCTTCAGCGTGGAATTATGAATTCACTCTGGCTGACACCTACATCTATCATTGTGTTAGATAACTAGGAAGTGCTGCTGATCAAGGAAGAATTTAAACTCGCCATATACGGGAACCCGGGCCATGTGTACCAGTGTGCTTCAGCAGCCTCGGAAAACACACCATATTCTGGGGTGTTTGCGCATTACAACATATTATCTCTGATATCTCTTTTTTCAAGCACTGTCTCTCTTCATCTTTATCACAACCTTCACCACAATCTTCAACTCCATCTCCAATCTCTTACACTTTTTTTTCTACCTCCATCACTCTCTTCACAGTCCTTTCCACCTTCACTGTCCTCTTTCCACCTCCACTGCCCCCTCTTTACACCTCCACTGCCCCTCTTCCATCCTTCTTCACCTTCACTGTCCCCTCTTTCCACCTCCACTGCCCCCTCTTTCCACCTCATGCCCCCTTCACCTTCCTGCCCCTCTTTCACTCCACTCCCTCTCACCTCACTGCCCCCTCTTTCCACCTCCACTGCCCCCTCTTTCCACCTCCACTGCCCCCTCTTTCCACCTCCACTGCCCCATCTTTCCACCTCCACTGCCCCCTCTTTTCACTTCCACTCTTTGCAATCTCCACTATCACTCTCTCTACCTCTTCCACCACTATCTTCATCTTCACCACCCCTCTCCAACTTCTCCATCATTTTCTTTATCACCACTTCCACCATCATTTGCTCCACTTACTCCACCTCTACCATTCTCTCTTTCACAAGCGAGAAATCCCGGGCCGGAACTCTGCCTGGGTAAAACGTATCGGTAAATGCTGCCACCTGTGTTAGTCAAGTGTAGTGGGTCACATCTATTGTGAAATTGCTATGAAATATGAAAAGACACTACTGTTCACTCTTGCTGGAGGCCATCATGTTCAAAATCCCAATATAAATAATAAAATCCCAGACCTGGGAAATCTTTATTACTATATATATATATATATATATATATATATATATATATATATTATATATATATATATATATTATATATATATATATATATATATATATAATAAAGCACCAAACTTCAACACTGCTTCTATCTCCTCTTCCATCATCTGTTTCTCTACGTCTCTCTAATCTAAAACCTTCGACAAAACATTCCTTAAAAAAAAGATCTTGAAGATTTTACCGAGGATTCAAATTCGCCGTGCGACATCAGGCAACATTATAAATACCAGCAGCGTTGGTGAGTGGCCAGAGACACGAGCACTTCTGGCGCAGTGGGTTGCCAGCACTAGCTGAGTCGACTTCAGTCCTTAGGAACTGTCAACGCTTGCTAGTCAAGAGACAACTGTTATTTACTTACGGTTGTGAGCGATTGGTGTTAATTTCCTCGTCGTCTTCCAGTAGTTGTTTTATATAGGGGAAGGAATTGTTTTTATTTTATGTGATTCGTACGGAGTGATGTGTTACGGTAGTGGTGAGGTTTACGTAGTGGTGAGGTGTTACGGTGTGGTGGTAGGTTGTGAGGTAGTGGTGAGGTTTACCGTTGTGTGAGGTATTACGTGTATGGTGGGTGTAGTGTGGTTCGGAGGTATGTAGTTGGTGAGGTGTTACGTAAGTAGTGTGAGGTATTACGGTAGTGGTGAGGTGTTACGGTAGTGGTGAGGTGTTACGGTAGTGGTGAGGTGTTACGGTAGTGGTGAGGTGTTACCGTTGTGGTGAGGTGTTACGGTAGTGGTGAGGTGCTACGGTAGTGGTGAGGTGTTACCGTTGTGGTGAGGTGTTACGGTAGTGGTGAGGTGTTACTTTGTGGTGAGGTGTTACGTTGTGGTGAGGTGTTACGGTAGTGGTGAGGTGTTACTATAGTGGTGAGGTGTTACGGTAGTGGTGAGGTGTTACTATAGTGGTGAGGTGTTACGGTTGTGGTGAGGTGTTACTATAGTGGTGAGGTGTTACCGTTGTGGTGAGGTGTTACGGTAGTGGTGAGGTGTTACGGTAGTGGTGAGGTGTTACTATAGTGGTGAGGTGTTACTATAACAGAAGAAGCGTGCACTCAGACAGACATGGACCACAAGCAACAGGTCAGCAGTAGTGGAAGTTTTTTGTTTCTAGTTATTTATTATTATCTCAGCGTCCTTCATCATCCCCCCACCCTCCCTGACTCCCTCCCTGTCTCCCTCCCTGACTCCCTGACTCCCTCCCTGTCTCCCTCCCTGACTCCCTCCCTGACTCCCTTCCTGACTCCCTCCCTGACTCCCTCCCTGACTCCCTCCCTCTCTCTCTCTACCTATCTGTCTTTCTATCTCTCTGTCTATCTCTCTCGCTCGCAACTTTTTCCTTATATTTTCCTCTCCCTCAGTCTCATTTCCCCTCTTTTTTCTCCATCTCCCTCCTTCTCTCTCCCTTTCTCTCATCCCTCCACCATCATCTCCCCCTCTCCGCCACAACACCAGTAAACGACCAGAGAGGAAGAAATTAAATACAGATGTATATAAAGCTCTATGATTGTTCATAATAACTCTGTCTTCCCCTCATAATAACGAAAAAACGGAACACATGAAGAAATGAGTGTCTTATATAGCCGCCTCTTGAGAAAATATGGAATTATTTCCAGAATCTCTGCAACCGGCAACCAGTTACCCGTGGGTACCTCAGGGGAAAGTCCCTCTCATGGCAAGCTATGTTCTTATTCCTGTAACCTGTTGCTTATCCCCGACGTCGGTGGGGATGGGGAGGGGCAGTTTGGAATACCCGGAAAATCCAGCGACGTATCTCGGAAAAGTCTGTTTCGTGCAGGGCATGGTGATTAGTTTTTTTTCCCCAAGGAAGTCGGGGATTCCAGCAGCGGTGTTCCAGAATCACTAAGTGAGTCATCTTGAGACTTACACCTGCGTCAGGAGGTACTTTGACTGGGAAACAACTCTAACATATGGAGAACTCACCGCGTATTTATGGAAAACTAGAAGCGTATCCCTTCAATGTGCGTACGTATCCTTTTAAAACTCGTTGCTTATCCCTTTACAACTTGCAGCGCATCCCTTCGAATACACAAACATTGAGTGTTATACTGAGATCAGACTGGAGTCTTGTGAATGAACTCTGGCTTACTATTGCTCACAAGCTGAGTAAGTTGAAGGTCCGGTGACCACAAACCAGCAGTGTAATTGGAACAATGGTAAACGTAATAGCAAGAGAGAGAGTTATATCACCCAGAGTTTACGTGAACAGATTACATACAACTATTCTCCCTCTATTTTCTGTCTCTTCTCTGTTATTTTCAAATTCTCTTTACATATAGTCCTCTTTTCTCAGTATGTGTACCATAAATTATATATATATATATATATATATATATATATATATATATATAATATATATATATATATATATATATATATTATTAAGTATTACTAGCTTGTCAATATTAGTGTGTCGACATGAATTATGTAACTGAGAAACACTGGTTTTGAGCGTATTGCATACCTCAACTTTATATGCAAATATATCAAGGTTGTGGCGTTCGTCAGCAGGTGGAGTCCCCACGTGAAGTGCTACAAGCCCTTGCCAGGAAACACAACGTTGATGTCCTCAGTCTGGAGTTTGCAAAGCTGATGGATTCTCAGGACCCTCTACGGAGCTTCAGAGACAGGTGAGATGGCTCTCAGTGTGAGTTTAGGGTAGATCTAAATAGTGTCTAGTTAGTAAACAAGTCACGTGTGTGTTCTGTCTAGTCCCTCGACAAAGGAGACTGGATCGAAGGTTCTCATGTTCTTATTAATGCTAGGATGGCACCATTGACTAAAGTCACGTGCTGTTTTTTTTTCCCTCTCGATATTTTGTTATATATTTGCATAGTAATTTAGTCTATAATTTCTTCATCCCTGTTCATCCCTGACGACAAAGGCAGATAATCCGTTATAGCCCCCATAGTCCCTCATACACCTTTCACTCACGTCCATAGTCTCTTAAGCACCCATCACTTAGGTTCAAAGTTCCTAAAATATCTTTCAGTTACGTTCATAGTCGCTTATACTCTTTTCACGTAGGTCGATACACACAATTCACTCACGTCCACAGTTCTTTATACACAGTTCATTAAGCTCCATAATTCCTTACACTCATATCCATGCTTAACAAAATTCACACACACTGAAAGTCAACATTCAGAGAGTTCTCAAGTAACTCTAGCATGTGAGTGTTGTGTTGACCTTGACAACTAACATCATACGTAGCATGACTGAGTACTCAGTGTTGAGCCGCTCAACAAGTTATCTGTTGTCTTGCCTATAATTGAAATATATTTTTAGCATTAGCTATTCGTTATAAATGTGATGAATTAAGATAAAATTTTATTCACTGAAACGTGTGTGTGTGTGTGTGTGTGTGTGTGTGTACTCACCTATATGTACTCATTTATGGTTGCAGGGGTCAAAACATAGCTCCTGGCCCCGCCTCTTCACTGATCCCTACCAGGTCCTCTCTCTCCCTGCTCCGTGAGCTTTATCATACCTCGTCTTAAAACTATGTATGGTTCCTGCTTCCACTAAGACACTTTCCAGGCTATTTCACTTCCTGACAACTCTGTGACTGAAGAAATACTTCCTAACATCCCTCTGACTCATCTGAGGCTTCAACTTCCAATTGTGACCCCTTGTTTCTGTGTCCCGTCTCTAGAACATTCTGTCTCTGTCCACCTTGTCAGTTCCTTGCAGTATTTTATATGTCATTATTATGTCTCCCCTAACCCTCTTGTCCTCCAGTGTCGTGAGGCCGATTTCCCTTTACCTTCCTTAGCTCTGGGACTAGTCTTGTTGCAAATCTTTGCACTTTCTCTAATTTCTTGACGTGCTTGACCAGGTGTGAGTTGCAAACTGGTGCTGCATACTCCAGTATGGGCCTCACGTACGCGGTGTACAGAATCTTGAACGATATCCTTACCGAGGTATCGGAACGCTATTCTTAGGTTTGCCAGGCGCCCATATACTGCAGCAGTTATCTGACTGATGTGCGCCTCAGTAGATGTGACCGGTATTATAGACACCCCAATATCCTTTTCCTTGAGTGAGATTTGCAGTCTTTGTGTGTGTGTGTGTGTGTGTGTGTGTGTGTGTGTGTGTGTGTGTGTGTGTGTGTGTGTGGTGTGTGTGTGTGTGTGTGTGTGTGGTACTCATCTGGGTCCTCTCTCTCTCTGCTTCCTGAGCTTTGTCATACCTCTTCTTAAAACTATGTATGGTTCCTGCCTCCACTACTTCACTTGCTAGGCTATTCCACTTGCTGACAACTCTATGACTGAAGAAATACTTCCTAACGTCCCTGTGACTCGTCTGAGTCTTCAGCTTCCAGTTGTGACCCCTTGTCCCTGTGTCCCCTCTCTGGAACATCCTATCTCTGTCCACCTTGTCTATTCCCCGCAGTATCTTGTATGTCGTTATCATGTCTCCCCTGACCCTTCTGTCCTCCAGTGTCGTCAGCTCGGTGTTATCGTCACCCCAAGGTCTTTCTCCCTGAGTGAGGTCTGTAGTCTTTGTCTCCTAGCTATACTCTGTCTGCGGTCTTCTTTGCCCTCCCCAATCTTCATGACTTTGCATTTGGCTGGATTGAATTCGAGAAGCCAGTTTCAGGACCACATGTCCAGCCTGTTCAGGTCTCTTTGCAGTCCTGCCTCATCCTCGTCCGATTTAATCTATCTCATCAACTTCCACATCATCTGCGAACAGGACACTTCAGAGTCTATCCTTCCATCAGTCGTTCACATGTATCAAAAATAGCACTGGTCCTAGAACTGACCCTGTGGGACCCCGCCTCGTTACAGGCGCCCACTGTGATACCTCTTCACGTACCATGACTCGTTGCTGCCTCCCTGTCAGGTATTCCTTATCCATTGCAGTGCCCTCCCCTTTACATGCGCCTGATCCTCCAGCTTCTGCACTAATCTCTTGTGGGGAACTGTGTCAAAGGCCTTCCTGCAGTCTAGGAAAACGCAATCTACCCATCCCTCTCTCTCGTGTCTTACTTCTGTTACCTTGTCATAAAACTCCAGGAGGTTTGTGATACAAGATTTGCCTTCCATGAACCCATGCTGGTTTTCATTTAAATCTTGTTCCTTTCCAGGTGTTCGACCACTCTCCTCCTGATAATCTTCTCCATGACTTTGCACACAATACATGTCAGAGACACAGGTCGTGATTAGTGCCTCGTTTCGTTTCCTTTCTTAAATATGGGGACACATTAGCTGTCTTCCATTTCTCAGGTAGATTGCCCAGTTTCAAGGATGTTTTTAAGATTGTGTTAGAGGCACGCACAGCATCTCTGCTTCCTTCTTAAGGACCCATGGGAGATGTTGTCCGGTCCCATCGCCTTTGAGGTGTCAAGGTCACTTAAGAGTTTCTTCACCTCCTCCTCTTTTGGTTCGTATGTCATCCAACACTTGTTGGTATATTCCCCTCTTGATGTTCCCTTCTGTACTGTCTTCACACAGCCCTTCCTTTCTCTACTGTAAAAACTTCCTTAAATCTCCTGTTCAGCTCCTCACATACCTCCTGATCATTTCTTGTGAGTTCTCCACCTTCATCTTTAATCTGATCACCTGGTCTTTGACTGTTTCTTCCTCCTGTGTGGCTATACAACAGTTTCGGGTCAGTCTTGATTCTCGATGCTATGCCATTTTCATACTGTCGCTGGCCTCCTCCTTACCTGTGCATACTCATTCCTGGCTCTGCGACTGATCTCCCTATTTTTCGTTTTTCTCTGCCTTCTTTCTTTTTTTTCCCTTCTCTATTGCACTTTGTTTTGCCTCCATACACCGTCGGGTAAACCAGGGCTCGTTCTGGCTTTTCCCCTTGTTACTGTTGCCCTTGGGAATAAACCTTTTTCCCCTGCCTCCTTGCATTTTTTTGTTACATATTCCATCATTTCATTTACTGGCTTTCCTGCCATTCTCTGTCCCACGGACCTCAAGCAGGAAGTTCTTCAACCCTATGTAGTCCCCTCTTTTATAGTCAGCTTTTCCCATTCAACTCCTGTTATTCTCTCCCCTTGCAGCTCTACTATGTATTCAAAGCACAGAACCACGTGGTCGCTAGCTCCTAGGGGACTCTCATACTTGATGTCCTCAATGTCTGAGCTGCCCAGGTGAACACAAGGTCCAATCTTGCTGGTTCATCTCCTCGCTCTCACTCTGGTAGTTCCCTTAACATGTTGGTGCATGAGGTTTTCCAGCACCACGTCCAACATCCTGCTCTCCATGTTTCGGGACCCCCATGTGTTCCAGGTTTCCCCAGTCGATCTCCCTGTGGTTGAAATCCCCCATAACCAGCAACTTTGCTCTGCTGGAATGAGCGCTTCTTGCCACCTCAGCAAGTGTGTCCACCATTGCTCTGTTGCTCTCTTCATATTCCTCTCTTGCCTCCTGCAGTTCTGTGGTGGATTATACATCACTGCAATGACCACTTTGTGTTCCCCAGACTGAAGTGTACCTGCTATGTAGTCTCTTTCTCCCGTCTCATCTATGCCTTCCATTTTCTCGAATTTCCATCTGCTTTTTACGAGCAGAGCAACCCCACCTGCCCCTTCTATCTTTCCTCATGATCTGGTATCCTGGTGGGAAGATTGCATCTGTTATTGTCTCCGTGAGTTTTTGTTTCTGTAACTGCTATGATGTCTGGGGACTTCTCATTTATTCTTTCTTGCCATTCCTCATGTTTATTCGTTAATCCATCTGCATTTGTGTACCAAACCTTCAACTTCTGTTCTAATACTGTAACTGTGGTGCGGGGGGTGGAAACAGAGGGATCGGTGTGTGATGGTTGGTTTGGATTGTTCAGTTGCCTTGGGGGTGTCGTGGCTGGAGTCCTCCTGCAGGTGTTTCTGGAGGGTGTGCTTGCCCTTCTATTTGATCCTGTGGTTATTCTGCTCTCCTTTTTCATTTCCTCCCATTTCTCCTTTCGTTTCTGAACTCTCTCTTTCATCGTCTTCCTTTCGTCCTGTGTTCTGTCTCGATCGAGGTACACACTCCGGAACTCCTGCTTGCCTCTCAGCCGTGCTTTCTCCTGCAGGATCATGGTTTGGGTTGATTCTGCCTTGAAAATTACTTTGAGAGGCCGATTCCTTTTCTTTGTGAACCACCCAATTCTCTGAAAATTTGCCACCTGGGTCATGTCCCTTTCGCCTATCACCATGATATCTTCAATCGCTTTTTTCTCCTCCTGCTTTCTTTCTTCATAAGTTTCCCCTTTAGCTTCATCTAGCCCATAGACAAACACGGATCTCTCCCTTTCCACCTCCCACTTTGACTCCCATTGCATCCTCTGATGTGTTTTAGTTTCTTCCCGTGGAGTGTTCCTTCCTTCAGTCCCTTCCCTAGTTATGGCCCCTATGCTTCTTGGTTTGCCCTTCCTGCTCACCTGTTCCTGGCCCCCACAGGTATCTGGTAAGGTCCTTGCACATGTCCTAGTTCCTTCAATGTCTTCCAACCTCTCATTCTGTCCTAGTGTGCTCCCTGCCTTTGTTTTGGCCCCATGTGGGTTTGACAGGACCTCTGCATACAGTTTAGTTTCCATGCTTCCTTCAGACCTGTTGTCTGTGTTTGATGTAGCCATTGCCGATGCTGCTTCTGTAATATCTTTGTCTCTGTGCTGTTTCAGATGTCTCAGCTCCGCTTCTAATCTCTCTATCTTGATTTCTGATGCTGTGGCCTGTTGCTTCCACCTTCTGCATTCTGCTGCTAACCTCTCTTCCATCTTCCTTTCCAGCTCATCTACTCTCCTTCCCCAGTCTTCCTCCCTTTTTTTGAGCTCTACCTCCCATTCCTCCCTCCCAGATTCGTCCTTGGAGCCCCTTGTCCTCATCCTGGTTCTAGGTTCCCCCGTTGCTCCACAGAAGAGGGGACGGGTGGTTAGGGGGAGGGGAATAGATGGTTAGGAGGAGAGGGAATGGATGGGTGTGGGGGAGGGGGAGGATGGTTATTGGAGGGGTAGAAATAGTTGGGGAGGGGGTTAGATGGTTTGAGGGAGAGAGGGGATGGATGGTTATGGGGGAGGGGGAGGATGGTTATTGGAGGGAGGGAGGTAGTTGGGGGGTTAGACTGTTTGGGGAGGGGTTAGGTGGTTTGGGGAGGGGTAGGTGGCTAAGGGAGGTGGTTAGGGGAGGGGGGGAACGTGTTTGTGTCAAGTGTTGTGTCAAGTGGTGGAGGGTGTGTGTGGGTGTGTGTGTGTGTGTGTGTGTGTGTGTGTGTGTGTGTGTGTGTGTGTGTGTGTGTGTGTGTGTGTGTGTGTGGTGTGTGTGTGTGTGTGTGTGGTATGTGTGTGGTGTGTGTGTGTGTGGTGTGTGTGTGGGGTATTGTGTGGTGTGTGTGTGTGTGTGTGTGTGTGTGTGTGGTGTGTGTGTGTGGGTGTGTGTGTGTGGTGTGTGTGTGTGTGTGTGTGTGTGTGGTGTGTGTGTGTGTGGTGTGTGTGGTGTGTGTGTGTGTGGTGTGTGTGTGTGTTATGTGTGTGTGTGTGTGTGTGTTTGTTTGTGTGTGTGTATGTGTGTATGTGTTTATGTATGTGTGTGTGTGTGTATGTGTGTGTGTGTGTGTGTGTGTGTGTGTGGTGTGTGTGGTGTGTGTGTGTGTGTTGTGTGTGAGTGTGTGAGTGTCTACCCTTGTGTGTGTGTGCTTGTGTCTGATGGAGGGAGGGCTAGGGGTGGGTAGGTGGTGTGGTTGAAAGATCCGTCGTGTAGGCACAAATTTAGTCTCATTTATCTTTCCCAATTATGCTACTCTCTCCACTTATTGCCCTTTCTGGATTTACGTATTAATTGTTGCTGGTTATTATCATTTTCCTTGTTCACATTGAGAGAGGACTTCCTAGCTTCCTAATTATTCTTATTGCTAATAACTACCGGTAGTAACACTGCCTGTGTGCGTGTGTGCATGTGTGTGTGTGTGAGTGTGTGTGTGTGTGTGTGTGTCTTGTGCGGTGTAATGACTAGCCGCAACTTCTTGTGACCTGACACAACCCTCCTGGGACTTGACCGACCCTTACACCGTCTTACAATGTTGCCCTTAAAAGCTTGTCCCACCTACCTTCTCACACTCGTCAAAACTATATTCACTATGTCTATACTATTTCTATTCTAATTCTAGTAATAGCTTGCAGGAGTGAGTGACCAGTATCAAACAGTATGCAAGGCCAGCCAGGGCCGTCAACATGCAAACCACAAATAGGCGAATAAACTTGCGCTCAATGGTGCGGTGACAGGTTGCCAGCTGCTGATGACGGAGTCGTCGTACGTAGGCCTTAAATCCCTGTTTTGGAGATCCTTCACCCGTGATGTTTATAACCATATATTCTCATACATCCCGCTTCCTCACGCAATGTCACTCTTTACTGATGATAGTATATACTTCATATTATATACACTTCACTTTATATGTATAATGGCGCACAACTTGTCGTGACGTCACTTCTTCAGGCCTACCGCTGCCAATGTGGCAACAGCGCCTAAGACCCCCAACGGTTTGCGCTTTGAAATATTATGATTTCAGCTTTCCTCTCACTTTCTTTAAGTAATAACTTTAATTATCACTCGTAGTATTGTTCACTGACGTTCCACTACCACTGATTACTGCTAGCTGTTATTGCACGCCTTTCAACGCTAAGGTTCTCAGAGCCTTGTTACCCACGTCTGCACCCCACGGACCCACGTGTGTGTGTGTGTGTGTGTGTATTCTCAGTCTACTTAAGATCTTCCTCAGGCGCTGCTGATGCTGACGATATTATTTTATTGAGCTTAAGGTGTTCCTTCTTAAACGATAAGCTAATCTTGGGTCCTCAGGTTCTGCTACCCGAAGAACGGAGCGCTGGCCACCGTTGATCCCGACCTGGTGGACCCCAAGGAGGAATGTGTGTACCTCTGCGGAAACTCCCTGGGTCTGAAGCCTCGTACAGCTGACACCTACATGCAGGAACAGCTTGATAAGTGGGCCAACACGTGAGTACGATCATGGATTGGAATTTCTTTTACACGTTATACAAATTTGTTTACCCTGCCATTATATTACATAATTATCAAAGACACTTGTCGATAGGCACTTGGCCTTTTGTGTGTGTGTGTGTGTGTATGTGTAATGTTTATTAATTTAGTGGATCTTGCAGGCCACAGACACAATCAAACCAATTTGTAAACATTTCCATGTTTACAAATTCTTGTCCCCTCAAGGGAGGTTCCTTGACGTTGGTGAGGGGGCTCTTGATCTAGGGAATTGGATCTGTGTTCCAGTTCCCTGAACTGAGCTTGAATGTCTTCCAACCCCCCCCACAGGCGCTGTATAATCCTACGGGTTTAGCGCTCCCCATGATTATAATAATACAAATTCTTGTTGTTCATGCACTTTGTTCTTCATGAGACGAATAAATCAAGAGAAAATTTGTGTATGCAATAATTTAACAAAAGTCATTCTGAACCTAACGAAAAAAAAAATATTTCACTGTGTTTGTTTATTACTAAATTATTGTAAACTTATCTAAAATATATTTATCTGGATTAGGCTAAATTAAATTGTGCTTGTTATATTATGGTTAGGTAAGTTTTCTATGGCTTTTTGGTACAAAATTATTAATTTTTAAATAAACATAAATGAAAGAAAAATGTTTTTAAACATATGAAGGAAAATTATAGAAAAGACTTAATTTTAAATGAGTTCTTGCTAATTGGCCAGTTTTACCTATTCGGCACGACATATACATGTATACATAACAGTGAAAACAGGAAATATACCTGATCGTTTTCATGTGCTTACGCATATCTTCAGAGGAACTGGAAGGATAAACATTAATAATATCTTTATTTCCACATTTCTGGCAAATTATGTCAATTTTGTCCCGGGATGCGACCCACATTATTCGACTAATACTCGGGTACCCATTTTACTGATGGGTGAACATGGACAGTAGGTGTAAAGAAAAACGCCTAATGTTTCCACCCTTTCCGGGAACTGAACCCAGACCCTCAACGTGTGAAGCTTGATCTTTGCCTACCAGGCCACGAGCCACAAACACATTTTTAACACTAAGGTGATACCTCAGAGCAGGTGACAACTCACCCAGGGAGGTGACCCTTATCTCAAAATACATTGTAGGAAGCCAAATGGACCACAGTCCCACCATCCTTATACAAACATTTATCCAAACTTCAAGATAAATTAATTGTTTGGCAAAGAACGCAGCTCTTAAGTAACCGTGACACCTCAAAGGCGATGGGACCGGACAACATCTCCCCATGGGTCCTTAAAGAAGGAGCAGAGATGCTGTGCGTGCCTCTAACCACAATCTTCAACACATCCCTTGAAACTGGGCAACTACCTGAGGAATGGAAGACAGCTAATGTAGTCCCCATATTTTAGAAAGGAAACAGAAACGAGGCCTAAACTACAGACCTGTGTCTCTGACATGTATTGTGTGCAAAGTCATGGAGAAGATTATCAGTAGGAGAGTGGTCGAACACCTGGAAAGAACAAGATTATAAATGAAAACCAGCATGGGTTCATGGAAGGCAAATCTTGTACCACAAACCTCCTGGAGTTTTATGACAAGGTAACAGAAGTAAGACACGAGAGAGAGGGGTGGGTAGATTGCGTTTTCCTAGACTGAGGGAAGGCCTTTGACACAGTTCCCCACAAGAGATTAGTGCAGAAGCTGGAGGATCAGGCGCATGTAAAAGGGAGGGCACTGCAATGGATAAGGGAATACCTGACAGGGAGGCAGCAACGAGTCATGGTACGTGAAGAGGTATCACAGTGGGCGCCTGTAACGAGCGGGGTCCCACAGGGATCAGTTCTAGGACCAGTGCTATTTTTGATACATGTGAACGACATGATGGAAGGAATAGACTCTGAAGTGTCCCTGTTCGCAGATGACGTGAAGTTGATGAGAAGAATTAAATCGGACGAGGATGAGGCAGGACTGCAAAGAGACCTGGACAGGCTGGACATGTGGTCCAGTAACTGGCTTCTCGAATTCAATCCAGCCAAATGCAAAGTCATAAAGATTGGGGAGGGGCAGAGAAGACCGCAGACAGAGTATAGGCTAGGTGGACAAAGACTACAGACCTCACTCAGGGAGAAAGACCTTCGGGTGACCATAACACCAAACACATCACCGGAGGCACACATCAACCAAATAACTGCTGCAGCATACGGGCGCCTGGCAAACCTGAGAATAGCGTTCCGATACCTTAATAAGGAATCGTTCAAGACACTGTACACTGTGTATGTTAGGCCCATACTGGAGTATGCAGCACCAGTCTGGAACCCACACCTGGTCAAGCACGTCAAGAAGTTAGAGAAAGTACAAAGGTTTGCAACAAGGCTAGTCCCAGAGCTCAAGGAAATGTCGTACGAGGAAAGGTTAAGGGAAATCGGACTGACGACACTGGAGGACAGAAGGGTCAGGGGAGACATGATAACGACATACAAGATACTGCTGGGAATAGACAAGGTGGACAGAGATAGGATGTTCCAGAGAGGGGACACAGGGACAAGGGGTCACAACTGGAAGCTGAAGACTCAGACGAGTCACAGGGACGTTAGGAAGTATTTCTTCAGTCATAGAGTTGTCAGCAAGTGGAATAGCCTAGCAAGTGAAGTAGTGGAGGCAGGAACCATACATAGTTTTAAGAAGAGGTATGACAAAGCTCAGGAAGCAGAGAGAGAGAGGACCCAGTAGCGATCAGTGAAGAGGCGGGGCCAGGAGCTGAGTCTCGACCCCTGCAACCACAATTAGGTGAGTACAATTAGGTGAGCACACACAACCACACACAGTGCACACAACCAAGGAAGAAGTGAAGAGGCTTCTGAGTGAGCTAGATACCTCAAAGGCAATGGGGCCAGATAACATCTCCCCATGGGTATTGAGAGAGGGAGCAGAGGCGCTATGTGTACCCCTAACAACAATATTCAATACATCTATCGAAACAGGGAGATTGCCTGAGGCATGGAAGACAGCAAATGTAGTCCCAATCTTTAAAAAAGGAGACAGACATGAAGCATTAAACTACAGACCAGTGTCACTGGCATGTATAGTATGCAAAATCATGGAGAAGGTTATCAGGAGAAGAGTGGTGGAACACCTAGAAAGGAATGATCTCATCAACAGCAGCCAACATGGTTTCAGGGACGGGAAATCCTGTGTCACAAACCTACTGGAGTTCTATGGGTGGATTGCATATTCTTGCACTGCAAGAAGGCGTTTGACACAGTTCCACACAAGAGATTGGTGCAAAAACTGGAGGACCAAGCAGGGATAACAGGGAAGGCACTACAATGGATCAGGGAATACTTGTCAGGAAGACAGCAGCAAGTCATGGTACGTGGCGAGGTGTCAGAGTGGGCACCTGTGACCAGCGGGGTCCCACAGTGGTCAGTCCTAGGACCGGTACTGTTTCTGGTATTTGTGAAAGACATGACGGAAGGAATAGACTCTGAGGTGTCCCTGTTTGCAGATGACGTGAAGTTGATGAGAAGAATTCACTCGATCGAAGACCAGGCAGAACTACAAAGGGATCTGGACAGGCTGCAGACCTGGTCCAGCAATTGGCTCCTGGAGTTCAATCCCACCAAGTGCAAAGTCATGAAGATTGTGGAAGGGCAAAGAAGACCGCAGACGGAGTACAGTCTAGGGGGCCAGAGACTACAAACCTCACTCAAGGAAAAAGATCTTGGGGTGAGTATAACACCAGGCACATCTCCTGAAGCGCACATCAACCAAATAACTGCTGCAGCATATGGGCGCCTAGCAAACCTCAGAACAGCATTCCGACATCTTAATAAGGAATCGTTCAGGACCCTGTACACCGTGTACGTTAGGCCCATATTTGGAGTATGGGGCACCATTTTGGAACCCACACCTAGCCAAGCACGTAAAGAAACTAGAGAAAGTGCAAAGGTTTGCAACAAGACTAGCCCCAGAGCTAAGAGGTATGTCCTACGAGGAGAGGTTAAGGGAAATCAACCTGACGACACTGGAGGACAGGAGAGATAGGGGGACATGATAACGACATACAAAATACTGAGAGGAATTGACAAGGTAGACAAAGACAGGATGTTCCAGAGATTGGACACAGTAACAAGGGGACACAGTTGGAAGTTGAAGACACAGATGAATCACAGGGATGTTAGGAAGTATTTCTTCAGCAACGAGTAGTCAGTAAGTGGAATAATTTGGGAAGCGATGTAGTGGAGGCAGGATCCATACATAGCTTTAAGCAGAGGTATGATAAAGCTCACGGTTCAGGGAGAGTGACCTAGTAGCGATCAGTGAAGAGGCGGGGCCAGGAGCTCGGACTCGACCCCCGCAACCTCAACTAGGTGAGAAACAACTAGGTGAGTACACACAACCACACAAACTACACCAACACACACAAACACCACACACACACACAACACACACACACAACACACACACACACACACACACACACACACACAAACACGAACACACACACACACCAACCTTACCAGGTGTGTAAGCCTTCCCAGTTCACACTCTGGCGACCACACAACCACGACAGCTTGCTCTGTCATTGCCGTTCATGGTTGCAGTACGTGAGGGCCTTGACACATGGCACCTTTGTGCCGTCTACACGCATCACGTGGTGCCATTACGCGACAGTAAGTGCCACTTGTTTCCACTGTCACTATGCGCCAGCAAGTGCCACTCTCTCCCTCTAAGTAAACAGTTCACTGGAGATCCAGCTGTTGACAAGTCACAGATTTTCCCGTTGTTGTTTCTGTTTATTTATCTTTTTTATTATCAAAGTAATTACTGCTAGCATTCTACGTCTACCACAATCACCACAACCCTCACTATCACCACAACCCTCACTATCACCACAACCCTCACTATCACCACAACCCTCACTATCACCACAACCCTCACTATCACCACAACCCTCACTATCACCACAACCCTCACTATCACCACAACCCTCACTATCACCACAACCCTCACTATACACAACCCTCACTATCACCACAACCCTCACTATCAACCACAACCCTCACTATCACCACAACCCTCACTAACACCACAACCCTCACTATCACCACAACCCTCACTATCACCACAACCCTCACTATCACCACAACCCTCACTAACACCACACCCCCCACTATCAACCACAACCCTCACTATCACCACAACCCTCACTAACACCACAACCCTCACTATCACCACAACCCTCACTACACCACAACCCTTCACTATCACCACAACCCTCACTATCACCACAACCCTCACTAACACCACAACCCTCACTATCACCACAACCCTCACTATCACTACAACCCTCACTATCACCACAACCCTCACTATCACACCACAACCCTCACTATCACCACAACCCTCACTATCACTACAACCCTCACTAATCACCACAACCCTCACTATCACCACAACCCTCACTATCACTACAACCCTCACTATCACCACAACCCTCACTATCACCACAACCCTCACTATCACCACAACCCTCACTATCACCACAACCCTCACTTCACCACAACCCTCACTAACACCACAACCCTCACTATCACCACAACCCTCACTATCACCACAACCCTCACTAACACCACAACCCTCACTATCACCACAACCCTCACTATCACTCAAACCCTCACTAATCACCACAACCCTCACTATCACCACAACCCTCACTATCACTACAACCCTCACTAATCACCACAACCCTCACTATCACCACAACCCTCACTATCACTACAAACCCTCACTAATCACTACAACCCTCACTATCAACTCACCCACACCCTCACATCACCCACAACCCTCACTAAACACCACAACCCTCACTATCACCACAACCCTCACTATCACCACAACCCTCACTATCACCACAACCCTCACTTTCACCCCCACAACCCTTAACTATCACCACAACCCTCACTATCACCACAACATCAAATATCACCACAACCCTCACTATCACACAACCCTCACAATCAACCACAACCCTCACTATCACTACAACCCTCACTATCACCACAACCCTCACTGTCACCACAACCTCACTATCACCACAACCCTCACAATCACCACAACCCTCACTACACCACAAACCCTCACAATCACCACAACCCTCACTATCACACAACCCTCACTAATCACCACAACCCTCACTGTCATCACAACCCTCAAATCACCCACAACCCCACTATCACCACAACCTCACTAATCACAACCCTCACTATCACTACAACCCCACTAGCCACAACCTCATAACCACAATCCTCACTATTCCATAACCCTCATATCACACAACCTCTCCACATTCACCCTCACCACAACCTCACAATCATCAATCTTCACAATCACCACAACCCTCACAATCACTAACATCACAACCCTCACAATCGTCACAACCCTCACAATCTCCACATAATCACAACCCTCACTCACACAACCTCACAACACCACAACCCCACATTCATCACAACCCTCACCAACACAACCCCACAATCACCACATCATCACCCAAACCCTCACAATTCACACAGCCATCACAACTCACAACCCTCACAATCCACACAATACCAACCCCACTTCATCACAACCCTCACAATCACCACAACCCTCACATCATCACAACCCTCACAATCATCACAACCCTCACAATCACCACAATCACACAACCCTCACATTCATCACAGCCATCACAACCCTCACAATCACCCCAATCATCACAACCTTCACAATCACAACAACCTTTACAATCATCACAACCCTCACAATCACCACAGTCACCACAACCCTCACAATCACCACAATCATCACTACCCTCACAATCACCACAGTCATCATAACCTCACAATCACCACAATCATCACAACCCTTACAATCACCACAATCATCACAACCCTCACAATCATCACAGTCATCACAACTCTCACAATCACCACAATCATCACAACCCTCACAATCACCACAATCATCACAACCCTCACAATCATCACAACCATTACAACTATAATCTAAAGCATCACCATCTCTACTATCACCCTATCTGCAACACTAGCCACACCTCTATCCTGCTCCTCTTCCCTTCCCCCTCTTCTTTCTCCCTTCCCCTCCCATCATACCCGGGCTGAGTCATCTTATGTAATGCGCCTGGGGTGGGGGTGGATGTACTGTACGGTATTTATCTTAACTTTAGCGCTGTATTGAATGTGGCACATGAAAGTCCTCACCACCACCATTAGAACCACCACTACCACTACCAACCACCACCACCACCACTGTCAACCACCACCACCAAACCAACCACCACCACCACTACCAGCCACCACCACCACTACCAACCACCACCACCAACACTACCACTACCAAGCACCACCAACATCAACACCATCACCAACCACCACCAATCACCATCACCACCACCAACCACTACCACCACCACCAAATATTTCCTTATACAACGGACAATCTAAGGTTTTCCCGTTTTCTTTCATCACTTCCAGATACCTTGAAGAACTGACCTTGACTTTCTATTATTGTTATTATTAGTATTGTTGTTGTTGTTATTGTCAATATTATTATTATTATTATTATTATTATTATTATTATTATTATTATTATTATTATTATTATTATTATTACTAACATTATTAGTATTGTTGTTGTGGTTATTGTCAATATTATTATTATTATTACTATTATTATTATTATTACTATTATTATTATTATTACTGTTATTAATTAAGGGAAGGCGTTAACCTCTTCTAGGCCATCCAATAAAACGAGTTGTGGAGGCTCGACCCTCCTGCCGCTTCTCGCAAGATAGACACTCTACCTAGCTATTCCCACAGGGGTGCAGAGCTGCACTTTACGGAGCCGCTGCCGGCGGCACTGTGCGACCAGTATGGACGAGAAGAGGTGGGTCGCCTGGTGGGAGCCGACCCCACCTCCGTTATACTCATGAACAGCCTCACAGTCAATCTGAATCTTTTGATGCTTTCCTTCTACCAACCCACCCCAGAGCGCTACAAGATCCTCATCGAAGCTCAGGCCTTCCCTTCCGACAGGGTGAGCCTGTGTGTCCGGGTAATCGTGTTGGTTAATGGGGTTTAAAGTCTATTAACTGTACGAGGGCTATTTTAAGACTGTATGCCATTACTTCACCCCTAGTCTAAGATACTTGTAACCCCTGTAATAGTGATTAAAGCAAATTCTCAAGGTATATATGACGATAAATATATATGTGTATATCCCTGGTTGTGTTCCCGTAGTTCGGATACTTGTACTGGAATATTAATATCCACAAGCTGTGGAGACACAAATGCATAGATTAAATTAAGAGTGCCAAAACGTGTCCTTATTGCCTTAATCTGTGCATACCTGTTTTTTCTCAAGTAACAATTTTTATTGCCAGCTAAATTCAACTCTGTTTTAATCCTAATGTTTGTCTTTGCCAGCAAAACCAGATTCTCTTTTAAATCTGTTTGTTTTGACAGTTAAACTAAATCTGTTTTAATTCTAATGTTTGCTATTACTGTCTAAGTTAAATTCTACGTCATTAAGAAGCAAGAAGCAATGCAATATTTTATGCGAATTAATGCCTCTGCAACATTGTTTTCAACGTGACGAACAATACTATTATACAATTTCCTTAAAATCGCAAAATAGTTTAATAGTGCAACTCAGAGTATTTTAAATAGTTTCGTAAATATTAAAGGTTATAACATAAAGCCTAAATGTAGAAGTGAATTAAACCCGGATGTAACATAACATAGATCACATGATGATATCTGCCTCTCTCTTCTGATCATCTTCCTCTCTCTCCTGATGATCTTCCTCTCTCTCTCTTCTGATCATCTTCCTCTCTCTCTCTCTCCTGATGATCTTCTTCTCTCTCTCTCCTGATGATCTTCCTCTCTCTCTCTCCTGATGATCTTCCTCTCTCTCTCTCCTGATGATCTTCCTCTCTCTTTCTCCTGATGATCTTCCTCTCTCTCTCCTGATGATCTTCCTCTCTCTTCTCCTGATGATCTTCCTCTCTCTCTCCTGATGATCTTCCTCTCATCTTCTTCTCTCCTGATGATCTTCCTCTCTCTCTCCTGATGATCTTCCTCTCTCTCTCCTGATGATCTTCCTCTCTCTCTCCTGATGATCTTCCTCTCTCTCTCTTGATGATCTTCCTCTCTCTCTCCTGATGATCTTCCTCTCTATCTCCTGATGATCTTCCTCTCCTTCCTGATGATCTTCCTCTCTCTCTCTCCTGATGATCTTCCTCTCTCTCTCCTGATGATCTTCCTCTCTCTTTCTCCTGATGATCTTCCTCTCTCTCTCCTGATGATCTTCCTCTCTCTTTCTCCTGATGATCTTCCTCTTCTTCCTGATGATCTTCCTCTCTCTCTCTCCTGATGATCTTCCCTCTCTCTCTCCTGATCTTCTCTCCTCCTCTCTCTCCTGATGATCTTCCTCTCTCTCTCCTGATGATATTCCTCTCTCTCTCCTGATGATCTTCCTCTCCTTCCTGATGATCTTCCTCTCTCTCTCCTGATGATCTTCCTCTCTCTCTCTCTTCTGATGATCTTCCTCTCTCTCTCTCTCTCCTGATGATCTTCCTCTCTCTCTCTCCTGATGATCTTCCTCTCTCCTCTCTCCTGATGATCTTCCTCTCTCATCTCCTCTCCTCCTGATGATCTTCCTCTCTCTCTCCTGATGATCTTCCTCTCCTTCCTGATGATCTTCCTCTCTCTCCTGATGATCTTCCTCTCTCTCCTGATGATCTTTCTCTCTCTCCTGATGATCTTCCTCTCTCTCTCTCTCCTGATGATCTTCCTCTCTCTCTCTTGATGATCTTCCTCTCCTTCCTGATGATCTTCCTCTCTCTCTCTCCATGATGATTTTCCTCTCTCTCCTGATGATCGTTCTCTCTCTCCTGATGATCTTCCTCTCTCTCCTGATGATCTTCCTCTCTCTCCTGATGATCTTCCTCTCTCTCTCTCCTGATGACCTTCCTCTCTCTCCTGATGATCTTCCTCTCTCTCCTGATGATCATCCTCTCTCTCTCTCCTGATGATCTTCCTCTCTCTCTCCTGATGATCTTCCTCTCTCTCCTGATGATCTCTTTCCTACTCTCTCTCTCTCCTGATGATCTTCCTCTCTCTCTCCTGATGATCTTCCTCTCTCTCTCCTGATGATCTTCCTCTCTCTCTCCTGATGATCTTCTCTCTCTCTCCTCCTGATGATCTTCCTCTCTCTCTTCCTGATGATCTTCCCTCTCTCTCCTGATGATCTCTCCTCTCTCTCTCTCCTGATAATCTTCCTCTCTCTCTCTCCTGATGATCTTCCTCTCTCTCTCCTGATGATCTTCCTCTCTCTCTCCTGATGATCTTCCTCTCTCTCTCTCTCCCCTGATGATCTTCCTCTCTCTCCTGATGATCTTCCTCTCTCTCTCCTGATGATCTTCCTCTCTCTCTCCTGATAATCTTCCTCTCTCCTCTCTCTCCTGATGATCTTCCTCTCTCTCTCCTGATGATCTTCCTCTCTCTCTCCTGATGATCTTCCTCTCTCTCTCTCTCCCCTGATGATCTTCCTCTCTCTCCTGATGATCTTCCTCTCTCTCTTCTGATGATCTTCCTCTCTCTCTCCTGATGATCTTCCTCTTCTCGTCCTCTCCCTGATGATCTTCCTCTCTCTCCTGATGATCTTCCTCTCTCTCCTGATGATCCTCTCCTCTCTCCTCTCCTGATGATCTTCCTCTCTCTCTCCTGATGATCTTCCTCTCTCTCTCCTGATGATCTTCCTCTCTCTCTCCTGATGATCTTCCTCTCTCTCTCCTGATGATCTTCCTCTCTCTCTCCTGATGATCTTCCTTCTCTCTCTCCTGATGATCTTCCTCTCTCTCCTGATGATCTTCTCTCTCTCTCCTGATGATCTTCCTCTCTCTCTCCTGATGATCTTCCTCCTCTCTCTCTCCTGATGATCTTCCTCTCTCTCTCTCCTCTGATGATCTTCCTCTCTCTCTCCTGATGATCTTCCTCTCTCTTCTCCTCCTGATGATCTTCCCTCTCTCTCTCTCTCCTATGATCTTCCTCTCTCTCTCCTGATGATCTTCTCTCTTCTCCTCTCTCCTGATGATCTTCCTCTCTCTCCTCCTGTTGATCTTCCTCTCTCCTCCTGATGATCTTCCTCTCTCTCTCTCTCCTGTGATCTTCTCTCTCTCTCTCTCCTGATGATCTTCCTCTCTCTCTCCTGATGATCTTCCTCTCTCTCCTGATGATCTTCCTCTCTCTCTCCTGATGATCTTCCTCTCTCTCTCCTGATGATCTTCCCTCTCCTCATCTTCTCTCCTGATGATCTTCCTCTCTCTCTGCTCCCTCCCTCTGATGATCTTCCTCTCTCTCCTGATGATCTTCCTCTCTCTCTCCTGATGATCTTCCTCTCTCTCTCTCTCCTGATGATCTTCCTCTCTCTCTCCTGATGATCTTCCTCTCTTTCTCTCCTGATGATCTTCCTCTCTCTCTCCTGATGATCTTCCTCTCTCTCTCCTGATGATCTTCCTCTCTCTCGATCTTCTCCTCCTGATGATCTTCCTCTCTCTCTCTCCTGATGATCTTCCTCTCTCTCTCCTGATGATCTTCCTCTCTCTCCTGATGAACTTCCTCCCTCTCTCTCCTGATGATCTTCCTCTCTCTCCTGATGATCTTCCTCTCTCTTCCTGATGATCTTCTCTCTCTCTACTCTCTCTCCTGATGATCTTCCTCTCTCTCTCCTGATGACTTCCTCTCTCTCTCCTGATGATCTTCCTCTCTTCTCTCCTGATGATCTTCCCTCTCTCTCCTGATGATCTTCCCTCTCTCTCCTGATGATCTTCCCTCTCTCTCTCCTGATGATCTTCCTCTCTCTCCTGATGATCTTCCTCTCTCTCTCCTCTCTCCTGATGATCTTCCTCTCTCTCTCTCCTGATGATCTTGCTCTCTCTCCTGATGAACTTCCTCTCTCTCTCCTGATGATGTTCCTCTCTCTCCTGATGATCTTCCTCTCTCTCTCCTGATGATTCCTCTCTCTCCTGATGATCTTCCTCTCTCTCTCCTGATGATCTTGCTCTCTCTCCTGATGAACTTCCTCTCTCTCTCCTGATGACCTTCCTCTCTCTCCTGATGATCTTCCTCTCTCTCCTGATGATCTTCCTCCTTCTCCAGATCTCTTCCCCTGATGATCTTCCTCTCTCTCTCCTGATGATCTTCCTCTCTCTCTCCTGATGATCTTCCTCTCTCTCTCTCTGATGTCTTCCTCTCTCTCTCTCTCTCTCTCTTCTGGATGATCTTCCTCTCTCTCACCTGATGATCTTCCTCTCTTCTCCTGATGATCTTCCTCTCTCTCTCTCCTGATGATCTTCCTCTCTCTCTCCGATGATCTTCCTCTCTCTCCTGATGATCTTCCTCTCTCTCCCTGATGATCTTCCTCTCTCTCTCCTGATGATCTTCCTCTCTCTCTCTCCTGATGATCTTCCTCTCTCTCTCCTGATGATCTTCCTTCTCTCTCCTGATGATCTTCCTCTCTTTCCCTGATGATCTTCTCTCTCTCCTCCTGATGATCTTCCTCTCTCTCTCCTGATGATCTTCCTCTCTCTCTCCTGATGATCTTCCTCTCTCTCTCCTGATGATCTTCCTCTCTCTCCTTTCTTCTCTCTCTCTTGATGATTTCTTCCCTCTCTCCTCATTCCTGATGATCTTCTCCTCTCTCTCCTGATGATCTTCCTCTCTCTCTCTCTCCTGATGATCTTCCTCTCTCTCCTGATGATCTTCCTCTCTCTCTCTCTTGATGATCTTCCTCTCTCTCACCTGATGATCTTCCTCTCTCTCCTGATGATCTTCCTCTCTCTCTCTCTCTCTCTCCTGATAATCTTCCTCTCTCTCCTGATGATCTTCCTCTCTCTCTCTCCTGATGATCTTCCTCTCTCTCTCTCTCCTGATGATCTTCATCTCTCTCCTGATGATCTTCCTCTCTCTCTCCTGATGATCTTCCTCTCTCTCTCCTGATGATCTTCCTCTCTCTCTCTCCTGATGATCTTCCTCTCTCTCCTGATGATCTTCCTCTCTCTTCTGATGATCTTCCTCTCTCTCCTGATGATCTTCCTCTCTCTCCTGATGATCTTCCTCTCTCTCCTGATGATCTTCCTCTCTCTCCTGATGATCTTCCTCTCTCTCTCCTGATGATCTTCCTCTCTCCTCTCCTGATGATCTTCCTCTCTCTCCTGATGATCTTCCTCTCTCTCCTGATGATCTTCCTCTCTCTCCTGATGATCTTCCTCTCTCTCCTGATGATCTTCCTCTCTCTCTCTCCTGATGATCTTCCTCTCTCTCCTGATGATCTTCCTCTTTCTCCTGATGATCTTCCTCTCTCTCCTGATGATCTTCCTCTTTCTCCTGATGATCTTCCTCTCTCTCTCTCCTGATGATCTTCCTCTCTCTCCTGATGATCTTCCTCTCTCTCTCTCCTGATGATCTTCCTCTCTCTCCTGATGATCTTCCTCTCTCTCTCTCCTGATGATCTTCTTCTCTCTCCTGATGATCTTCCTCTCTCTCCTTATGATCTTCCTCTCTCTCCTGATGGTCTTCCTCTCTCTCCTGATGATCTTCCTTCTCTCATCCTGATGATCTTCCTACTCTCTCCTGATATCTCCTCTCTCTCCTGATGATCTTCCTCTCTCTCTCCTATGATCATTCCTCTCTCTGATGATCTTCCCTCTCTCCTGATGATCTTCCTCTCTCTCTCTCCTGATGAACTTCCTCTCTCTCCTGATGATCTTCCTCTCTCTCCTGATCTTCCTCTCTCTCCTGATGATCTTCCTCTCTCTCATGATGACCTTCCTCTCTCTCTCCTGATGATCTTCCTCTCTCTCTCCTGATGATCTTCCTCTCTCTCCTGATGATCTTCCTCTCCCTCCTGATGATCTTCCTCTCCCTCCTTTGATTATTCGTAAAATCCCACCGCTGCCACCACTACACACAAACATTGGTTTTTATTTCGTTCTATTATTTCTTACATTTGATTTTATTCTCTTATTATATGTTCATTTAACTCTGTGTTTGACTTTCACCTATTGTATCATTGGGTATCTTTGATTTTGTAATTAAGCTTTCTTGATCGACAAAATAATACCACTAGGACTATCATAACATTTACAAACATAGGTAACTTCAGAAACTTCAAAGGAAGCTCATTTTTTATCTAAAATTATAGAAAATAAACGATATTCTGAAAAAATTTCATTTTAATCTGGTTTCACTGATCAATTGACAATGTGGCTGTCATAACAGCAAAGTTTTTGAGAGCGTGACGAGTACCTACTCCGTTTAGAGTTCATTTGGTTATTTTTTGCAACCTTCCTTTCCTCATATGCAATTTTCTCGCAAGTGGAGCTACGAGGTACAACCCAAGATGCTGTGCTGGAGATCAAGCCCAGACCTGGTGAACCACACACTGAGACTGCAGACATTCTTCAGTAAGTATTTTTCATTGTTTCTCTTGTTATTGCTTCGGACGACCACCAATCTAAGATAGTTACTAATGGAAATATCTCATAAGTTGAGAGATTTTCATAAGAGATCATTGAGTTAGATTCTAGTAATTTGTCTCTTAAGAAATATATGCTTCAATTTATTTGTACTAGTAAACCTGGAGAGTTAACATCCCTGGATAACCAAGCATTGTGGTTTAACTACACTTTGGTTCTTTTGTTTTAAGTTCTCCCTGATAATGCGACCTACAATAGTCGACTAACTTCTAGCTACAATATCTATATACATTGTATATAGATACTGTTACTTAGCTGTATATTATACTGCTAAGTAAGGTGGGTTGCAGGTGCTAGGAGGCTCGTCCACACGTGAAACCCTGCCCAGGACTCGACCCGGGTATTTTCAGTTTTGAGTCGAGATCTCTACCATTGCGCTGCGAGGTACCGAGTCCTTGTAGAATGTGGCAAATTTTATCCTGGTGGCCTGGTGGTTAACGCTCTCGCTTCACACGGTGAGGGCCTGGGTTCGATTCCCAGCCAGAGTAGAAACATTGGACGTGTTTCTTTCCACCTGTTGTCTATGTTCCCCATCAGTAAAATGGGTACCTGGGTGTTAGTCGACTGGTGTGGGTCGCATCCTGGGACACTGACCTAAGGAGGCCTGGTCACAGACCGGGCCGCGGGGGCGTTGACCCCCGGAACTCTCTCCAGATAAACTCCAGATAATTACTGGACGAATTTTGGAAGGTACCGACCACTTAAGACGCAATTAAACATGAGTACGAGAAACATGACCACATATATCTGGATGATGAGAGGATGAGGAGAACTGTGACCTCAAGGATGTAATCGTAACTGACGTAATTGGACATACAACCAACAGTGCTCCACTGGTCAACATGAAACACACACACACACACACACACACACACACACACACATACACATACACACATACACACACACACACACACACGCACGCACGCACGCACACACACCAAGTTAAGTTGGAGCACACGTTCAACTTTGACGATTTATTGTATATTTCTCGAAAACTGATTTATCCAGTGTATCAGAGAGTCTTAAGTTACCAAGCTCTTGAGACATTCAGCCTATGTGACTAATAACTGATTAAGCTCAGCGATCAACACAGGCGCATCTCTTCTTCAGGTGATCAAGGGACAGGACAATATGCAGGCGTCCCTCCTTCAGGTGATGAAGAAACAAAATAACATAGGTCTTCCTCTTACAGATGCTGAAGGAGGAGGGCAGTAGCATCGCTGTGGTGTGCCTGGGGGGAGTACAGTACTACACTGGGCAGAAGTTCGACATGGAGCCCATAACGAAGGCGGCACAGGAGCAGGGCTGCCTCGTGGGGTGGGACCTGGCTCACGCCGTAGGCAATGTTCCCCTTCACCTCGACCAATGGGGAGTCGACTTCGCCTGCTGGTGCACCTACAAGGTACACGAGTGTATACACAGCCACTTGCTGTCCATATTTACTTGCAGGTGTATGAATATTCGTTTTCCTGGTCAATATTTTCCCTGTGGGTGTATGTGTATGTGTATTTCTTCATATTCTTGACCCAGAGGGCGCCTGCTAAACACTTTAATCTCGTCAAAAAGTAATAACCAAAACTTAATTCTTTTAGGTTCCAAATTTTTCAGACAAAACTAAACATAATTGCTCTTGTTATTATTCTGAAGGAGGGGTGTTAATGTGGCAGTTTTATAACTATAATGTAAGCGCACCTCTGGTGAGACAGTGATGCAGTGAATGATGGTGAATGTTTTTGTTTTTTCGGGCCACCCTGCCTTGGTGGGAGACGGCCCATGTGTTAATAAATAAAATAATAATAATAATATAATAATATATAATAATAATAATAATAATAATAATAATAATAAATAATAATAAATATATTTTTATTAATTATTATTATTATTATTA